TTAAAAAGTTCTTCAAAACGTTTATTTTAAGCTTTTGTTTTTCGGATTATGTAAGGCTTATCAAACCTTTTCTTTAAATAAAAACTATTTTTTCAGCAATATTTTATTAATATTGAAGAATTTTGAAGCCGATATTTATTCTTTCTTTAATAAAAAAACATCAATGCGATATTTTTGCATTTTCTAAGATTAAAAAACTGTACCCCTAAGAATACTTTTTTAGGTTTCAATTGTTTCTTTAAATATGTTATTTTTTTTAATAATTATTTTAAAATAATTGAGTTCCTGATATTTATCTGAACCATTAAAAATATTTTCAGTTTCATAAATTTTGCATAATAAATACATTTTTTATGATATACATTATTTTATAAATGAATTTTTCTCTAAATAGTTAAAAAACAAACTTATTTAACAAATAAGAATGATTAATTATGAATAAACAATGATATTTTTTAAAATGTGATTTAATACAAATTAATTTTAAGCATATGAAATTTAAAATATATTTAGCTTTCATTTATGTTAAATACTCTGCGTACTTTGTATAAAATATACATTACACCAATTTAAATAAAAGTAATTCGTTTCATATTTAAAATAAATTTATGCTTATTTTGCGCAATAATTATTGAAAAATAATAATTTTCTTTGAACTCTATTATCATACAAAAAAGTGGCTGCAATCTTGATCATATCTTAATTTTAACCCTTTTACTTTGCAAACAAATCTTTTTAATGCCTGTTTCGTTATTTTAAGTTTCAATTTCAAAGAAAAAAAGCATCCTTTTAACATTTAATTAAGATTGCAAATTTTTTTTAAACTAATAACTTGAAAGCATATTATTATGTTTGGTTTTCAAACAAATTTAAATTGAAAGGAAAACAAGAGAATCTTAAGCGCGTTAATTTTGCTTTGTTTTTTTTAAAACCCGTTTTCAAGTTCATGTCTTCAAACTTTTATTTAAGGCTGACTGTACACAACCAAATTTTTTTAACTAAGTTGAAATAAAACATCATTTTTTATTATTTCATCAATCTTTTCTAATTTTTGAACTAATTAAACTCATATTATCACTTTACAATAAATTTTTTTAGCCAATTTAGCAATAAGCATTTCTTTGTATTTTGTTGAAAATAGTGTTATTTTTTCCTCAATTTTTAAAATTTTTTTTTTCTTTTTTATTAACGTATCATAATTTACTATTATTTATTTATTTTTTGTAACAACTGTTTTGATAAATAATATTATCTTTACATTGCCCTGCTAACAACATAAAAAAATATCATCATATTTTATTTTTCATTAGGAGTTGAAATATTAAGTTAAAACAAAAAATAAAAGAATATTTGAATAATTTTTTTAACTGTTTCATCACAAAAATAATTCCTCTCAGGTAATCCGTTAATTTTTAATTGAGTTTGAGATGTTATTGTTCGAAATTAAATATTGGGCAAGAAAATGATTGTTAGTCATAATGATAAATTTAATTAGCAAAAAACTGTGAAGCACCATGAAAAAAGGGAATAAAGTCAAAATAATAAAGATTTTGATTTAAACTTCTTTATAGAATTTAATTTAAATACTTTTCAAATACTTTTTAAATACTATTTAAATATATTTAAATACTATCAAGTTTTAAAGAATGATATTGTTTTTCATAAAATCTATTATGAACTGGTTCTTTAATTAGTGTTTTTAAAAAGTTATAATTTTCACAAATACGATATAATATTACATCTCGTTAAATTTGTTTCAAAACTCACCGTAACAACCTCTAAAATGTGTATCCGATAAAAGTTTTTTTTTTCTAACAAGAATAATTTTTTAAACATCTTTTTCATCAGCTGATTTTTTTTCGTACAGAAACTATCAATTAATGCTTTACAAGAAAACATTTACTAGAAATACACAAAAAAAGTCATAACATTCATAATCATAATGTTAAAAAATATTTTTTTAAATAAATAAAAAATAACAATTGAGTTAGGTGATCTTTTCTAAATCGATATTTTTCACCACATTTGACTTCTTTCATTTTCATTATTTGAAGCCAAAATGATTTCGTTTGGTTTAAACAAACACTCATGGAGTCATTTTAGAAAGTTTAAAAGTATAAAAGAAAATATTTTCAAAAAAAAAATATTTTATCAATTAACTGTTGTCTTCTTGTGAAGCAAGAAAATTGAGACGTGTTGAACTTTTTTCAGACAATAAAAAATTACAGTATATTGACTTGAAAGGCTTTATTTTCATCGATTTACTCAGACGACTTTTTAAAAAAATAAAAAGCAGACGAGGGAATTCTCGCAACAAAAATGATAAGAAAACATTAAAAATCAATAAAATCGTTTTGAATGAAGCAAGCAACTTGAGTAAATGATGCACTGAGTGAATAAGAATAATCAAACATGTCACTCTTTATAAAATACAAAGTAAAAATAAATAAATAAATAAAAGATAAAATTGAATAAATTTTTTGAATTATTTTTATCCTCTTTGATCAAACTACATGCGTGGAAGACAAAGTGCTAGGATTTCTTTTTTCATTATTTCTTCGTACCACGTGATAAATGTTCTCTCTCAATTGTAAGAATCTCTCTTAGTTGCGCGAGCATACTTTTCTGATCGATAACAAAACATGCGCTCTTACGGCCGTTTTCTCTCGTCTGCTTTTCGAACGTTTCTATGCTTTCAGTACATTCAACTCTTGGAAAAAGAGGAGAAAAATTATATCAAGAGTATTAAATTTTTGGTGCACAAAGTGATCTTTGTTTTAGTATTAATTTTTAGATTTTAGGTAACAAAAAAGCATTTCTAAGTTGTGTATTTAAACACAAATTAACTGATGCATAGTGAAGATATAATTATTTGATGTTTCAACATCAAAAATATAAAAACTTTATAAATGTAATTACAGCTATTTATACACTTTTGAGATAATTAAAAAGGAAAACATTCTAAAATTTACGTTAAGTATAACAATACTTAATAATAAATATATTAAGTGAAAATACGCAATTCTGGCAAACTTTGATCAGACTTTTAAAAGACAATTAAATAAATTTGAAAGTTTCCCCTTCCAAACAATAATTTTTTACATAAATAAACGCTAAAAATTTATTTATCATAGAAATATAATAACTAAAATTCTATTTCAATTACAGAATTTACAATCATAAATGAGAAATGTTTTTTTATGCAAAACCTAAATTGATTTTGACTTTTCTAAATCTATTATGAAATGCATCTTTTTTGCATTGAAAATATATAGTTAATAATAAAAGTTATGCTAAATAGTCTTAATCAAACAAGAAGTTAGATTTGAAACATGTTTGCAAGTATTATTAAAATGATAATTGTTTAAAGGGAAAAAGGGCAAGTCAGATAATTAATGGTTTGAGAAAATTCGACAAATATATGTATTTCTTAAATGACATTGATAATTCTATCGACGATGTTGCTTTCACACACGGGCAGATTAATATTTTGCAAGCTTGCATTATGAATGCCAAAAACGAATTATTAGTTGATTCAAATAAAAATCTTAAAAGCTGTTGTAAAATTGATTTAAATTTTTTCCTAAAAAATGATTTTTTTAAAGAAAAACTTACAATTTCTATTTACCGACAATGCAAAATTATTTTCATTTGGAATAAATTTAAAGTTTTCCTACCTGATTAATAACAAAACAAATCTTTTGATAGTGTAAAATTTTAATCGAATAAATTAAGTATAACATGTTAATTCTTAAACTATTACCTGTTGTGTATACATACATTGCAGATTATTTTCATGCTTTCAAAGAATTTTAAAAATATAAATAAACTAATAAAAGAGAACGGAATGAATTTTTCATTCGAATTTCCATATTATACTTGTCAACTGTAAATAAATTATACGTATCTACACTTCAAGTTTTAGAGCCATAAAAATATAAGAAGAATCTATGAAATATTTACACTTATGTAGCAAAGAAGGGCAACTTATTGCTTTTATTTGAATTTTTATTTTTACAATTCTTCGTTCAAAAAATACTTCGCTTATTTTTTTCCAAAATTTTTATTCTTTTTACTTTACGTTTTTCACAAATCTGCTGATATTAATTTGCGCTGAGTTTTGCAGATATTTATTTGCATTTTAAATTGAAAAATTGTGTAAACAATTAATTGACAAGAGTATTCGTGTAAACTATTGTTGCACAATGATATATCACCTAACAAAAAGTTTTGAAATGCTTTATTTTGAAGAAAAAAACAGTAACAATTATTTTTTTTAGAAAACGATTTAACAAATGAAGCATTTTCGTATTCTTTTTCTTATTTTCAATTTTATCTGTTAAATCAAACAGAAAAAACAAAAAAGAACAAATGATTCTGAATAAATAATTTTTCATGGTCTTAAAATTTGATAACAAGTTCCAAACTACAAAAAATAGAAATTTATAATGCCTGAACTTGAAACATTCGGTAACAACAGTATTATGTATGTAAAACGATTTGTTATTTTAAAGAAATATGAAGAATTTGAGTTCGGATTTCGCTGTTAAATAATTGTTTTCCTCAAAAAATATCTCAAGAGAGCAAAACTTTATGAATAATAATAATAATGTGATATGTAATATGTGATATGTAATATGTAATAATAATAAAAAAGATTGAACTGGAAGCTTAAATTAAAAAAACAATATTAAAATTCTGCCTCAAATGTTGTACTTATTGCAGAAAATTTGTACTTTTTCTCACTTTAAATAATTATTTTTGAATAAAATACGACGCATATTATCTTACGTTTCGACATTATGAGATTGATTTTTGTTTTCTTTGATTAAAAAATAAGATGGATTTATCAAACTAAAGAAAAATAAGAATGTGATTCTTTTAAAAAAGATTTTGAAGAAAATAAAACCAACCAAATGATCACAAGAAGCAACAAAAAATTCCTAAGTTTAAATAATTTAAATTGTCACCTCGTAATGTGAAATAGAAAAACCACTTACCTTGACACCTGGCGGAAGAGCAGGAAGCAAATAAGATCACAAGGAGAGCATATGGGAAGTGGATGGACGACATCTTCCGCTCTCATTCCCTTCTTACCTTGGGAGAGGGATGAAATGATCTGCGTAGATTTCATCTCAATCAACCGTTTCCCGCTTTCTCATTCAATTCGATGCGTACGCTCTGCCATCTAGGGGCAGAAGCAAAAACTAGTCCGAAAAATTAAGTTGTGTTACTTTGAATGCCATCTGGAAGCAAAATGATGAACTTCACTTTCCGCTTAAAATATGAAAAAAATAAAAATGTTAACCGTTTTCTGTCGTATATCAAAACGTAATTTCAATGATTTAAAATTTTGCTTATACCAAATATTATTGCACTTTTTAACTTTATAATTGCTATAAAATAGATTCACTTAAAATTTGAAACATTTTTATTAAAAGTTTTTTGTTAAAAAAACAATTAAATTTACAGAACAAATATTAATTTATTTTAGAAAAAGAAAAAGAACGAAATGCAAGAACTTATGCCATTGCTATAAGTAAACAATAATACAATACACTTCTTATTATTATAAACTGTTACAATTATATTACAGTGGTGTAGGTCACAGAACTAAATATTTCTTCACCGTAGCCCATCCTAGGTCCGGCGGTGGTAGAAAAAAAAAAGACAAAAGTTTTAGCAAAACGATTAAGGGCTTGAAAGCATAAACGTAGCGTGAAAGAAATTTTTGGCTTTATTTAAAAACTTTCATGCTGGATTCTGTAATGTATTAGCATATCTGAATTTCGACGTTTTATTTTCTAAAAATTTAAGGAAAAAAAAGCCACGGTAAAAATTCTCATTTAAAACCACTTTCTGTCAAGGTCAAGGTTGACAATGCAGTGCGCAAAAAAAAAAAAAAAAAAAAAAAAAAAAAAAAAGCACGAATTATTTTTGATTTAATGATCTTCACTTTCTAAGACTCAATCTTAATGGCTCAAGGGGGTCACCTCAATTAGCTAATTAACTAATGTAGGTCCCGCAGTGGACTGATCGTTAAGACACGGTTCCCAGCAGATCACCGAAGTCAAGCATCACTGGCTACGGTCAGTGTGCGAATGGGTGACCACTTGGATCAATCTGCGTAGGGACCGAGGGTGTGCGGTATTGGTCCTCGCTAAACTGTTCTACCGTAAAGTGCTCGACTTCGCGTGCAATTCGTCGGGCTACTGAAGCGGGGGAACCATCCCCTTTTCAGAGGATCAAAATTGGGATGGCATGTCTTCGGATCATCCTCAGGGATGTTTCCCAGACCGTCGCCAATAGCTCAATGTGCAGCTCTAGTGCGAAGTAAATGAACAGCAACAATAACTAATGCAGATGATATTTCTCTGGAAAAAAACGTAACACGTAATATTGTTCATTCAGAGAAATAGAAACGTAATTTCTCTGAATGAACAATGAACATACCCCTTTTCGTGACGGATTCAGGTCTCTGATCCCCGAAATATAGAGGGTAGCCGTAATCGGAGAGATATGGTCCCCATGGTTTGATCAGGAGAGCGATCTGAAGTTTGGTCCCCTTAATGTTAATTTTACTTTTTGCATGTTTAAATTGAGTCCAAGAACGTGAAGATCGGATCATTAGATTAAAAATTATTCAAGTCATAGTCCGCTTTTTTATAAATATTAATTTTAAACCATATAGTTGCAATAGGAAAATAGAATAAAATCCAAAACTCTCCTAACCTAATTGTCACAAAATAAATTTTTAATAAAACAGAAGTATGAATGAAATTAGTCTAGGCTTGTATTTAGTGATATCGTCGCTTTACTCTCAGTGCTCAAAACGTAAAAATGGTTTTACAGACTTAGTTCGTTTTTAACTATTACCCGGAAAATTATAAGAAAATTAGATCTATCATAATGTACTTTATTTATAATTTAACAATGTTATTCCTGGGTAAGAGATTCCCTTATATACTTTTTCCCCAATGCCCACCTGGATTATGAGGTAGGTCATACAGGCATCTGAAGGGCAGATTTGTTGGCCACTCCTTCGGGGGCACCCACAAGGCCACTAGGAGGCTTTGGCACCCACCATATTAAGTGAGCCAAAGTTGCTCCCACAGTAAGGACAGATAGTACAGCGAAGGAAAGAACATCCATGCCTTGCCGGGATTCGAACCCAGAACCTTTCTGATGCAAGGGCAGTTCCCTAATTCCTTTATATACTAAAAGAATAGATTTTTCACTGTGTGCAATAATATGCCAGTTTTTGCATTTTTATGCATTTAGTGCAATCCGTTCTTTCAAGTTCAGTGATAGGTTTTTAAAAGTTATTTACTAATCAAATAAAATAATTTAGAACACATTCTATAGAAAGATGCCGAAAATTCGAACTCTAGATATGAAGTTCACCAGTAATGAAAAAAGAATATTTCGAATGAAATAGAACTTATTGGATAAAACTTATAAAAATATTAAACATAATTACTCTATCAAGTTATATTTAGAAATTAATATTTGGAGAAAATCAGAATATAAATTTAGAGTTTCTCAAACAAGCTGGAAGTTATATACATTTTACATAAATTTTATGTTCTTGGAACTGAGTCTAAGATTCTTTAGATTCTAAGAACTTAATTACTCTATTCATGGCATAAATAAAAGAGTTTCAGACAAAACGAAACTTAGCATCAGTTTTCCAACCATTTCAAAAACAATTAAAACACTATTTCAACATAACATTTGAGAGATATACTTAGGCGAAGAAAACGTTGTTTTGGTATTAATTGGGGGTGACGGCGATACTAAAAGAACGATGCGATGGTATGTAGTCAACATAATGTCTTCTGAGAAGTTTGTTGTTGTGTAACCATGATATCTGATCAGAAAAGTGCTCTACGATTTATTTATAAAGGACTGCTTACATTGAAAGGTTACATAATTATTTCGTTTTTAATATCTTCGGCACTAAAATCTAATTTCTTAATTCCTTCATAGTCGAAATATGTACCTTCTAAAATTTGTTACTCAAAACTTATGTTTTTTAAAAATTTGTTGACGTAAAATAGGTGGGAAGCAATTATCTAGCTAATTTTGCGTGAGTGGTAAGTATGATGTACCGTTGTTGTTTATGGCATAACATTAACTTTACGAGTTCTTATTATTTTGTACGGCTATCGAACTTGCAAACAATAGTTTAAACTTTCTAAATTTTCGTAACTGACATCTCCAAGAAGAAGGAACAATTTTTAGCATAAATTTGTTTTGAAAAAATATGCTTTACAGATATTTAAACATATTTTAATTAATTTTGGGTCCACTTTTTTGAGTAAAAATTAACACGCTACTAACCGTTTCCTAACTTATTTTTTTCCATTTAATATGTAATCCCCTCCCCCAGTTTTAATTTCTTTTTCCGATAAAGAGAATTTTTTTTTATACATGAAAAAGATAAGCAAATTACTTGCTGAAATTAGTAACCTCATATCATTTCTCCTCAGGAGCTTAGGTAACATTCGAACTGGTACATTCGAATAAGTTCCAAATCAAATTCAAGTTTCAATTTCTTTTCTCGATAAAGAGAATTTTTGGTCATACGTGGAAGAAATTATCATATTATTTGCTAAAATAAGCAAATCGCTAACCATTCCTTTTCAAGAGCTTAGGTAACATTCGAGCTGATACATTCAAATAAATTCCGATTGGATTTCAAACTTTAATTTCTTTTTTCGATAAGTAGGGGTTTTGGTCATACGTAGGAGAAATTAGCAAATAACTTTCAGAAATTAGCAAATCGCAAAGCTTAGCAAAGCTCCCCACTAGCTTAGTTAACATTCGAACTGGTATATGAGCTTTTTCATTACTATGAGAAATTATTAGACTGACTGACTAATAAAATAGAATTAGACAGAAATAGAAGCATCTTGCGTCCTATTTCTTTCCTTGCCTATTTCATCATCAAATCTTTAATTGGCTGAAATAGAGATGTTTTTTGAAAGACGAAATGAAGACTTAAAGTTATGATAATGTTATGTAAGTAGTTATGTAAGTATGTTATGCAAGTAGTATGTTTAAAAGTTATTACAATAGATTGATAGAATATGTTTAATAGAATGGAATCTGTTTAAAAAATTATGTAGAGCATAAATTAAACTATATAACTAGAAGCCACTATTGTGAACTAATGCTGAAATCATTAAGTAATAATCGAAATGTTTTTTAAAAAATCATTAAGGATACCATTTATATAAAAGTGCTAAGCATAGAACTATATTTTTTAAATTATTGATAAATTATCTAAATAATTAATTTTTTATTAAATTAAAAACAGTTTTTTGGTGTTTTTAAAAATAAAAAAAAATCGCGGATTTAAAAAGTTCTGAAGTTTTAAAAATTATTGAGGGGGCACGCGCTCCCCTGTCCTATCCCCGTCGCTAAGCCTACGTTTTAAAGAGATGACTTTAACGTAAGTTCATAAGGCTATATATAATTAGGGACCGTTCAAAAAGTACGTGCACATAAATGTAGAAATTTTAACCCCCTCCCGCCTTCATACATTACCGTACATAAGATCTTACTCCCCCCCCCCCTTAGACCACGTACATTTTATTAGTCTACCCCCCTTTTTCATAAAAATTAAAATAATTATGTTTTAAATAAAATTAAATATTTATTTAAAATAATTTATTCATTTAAATTATTTAAACAATAACACCCAACTTTATCTTTGAATCTATAAATAAAACAATCTTATCTGATCAACATAAAAATTTCCTACAACCAATACAACTAATCTACAGTATTTTCCCAAGGACATTCCAAATGCTTCTCGAGAGACACCAATTCAGCGTTACTCTTGTCTGCGACTGATGAAAAATTTAGATTATCTTCATCAACGAGATCATCTTCGATCCACTCTCTGCATCATCTTCGGTTTCCTGGTTTCGGAGGATAACCAAAAGTTCTTTGTGTCGACGAGCTGCTACACGAACTGGTCTTACTTTGTTGATTTACAAAGAAGATTTGCATATTTTCTTGTGATCTTTCAAACAAGTTAAAGATGCAAAATATGTACCACAAGTAGGACAAATTTTGCGTTTAATATCCCCTCCTACCGATGGGCATGCTGCATCGTATGGTATTTCTGTGATGG